GATGGTATTCCCCATTTTCATTAAATTGAAAACCACCAATTCTCAACATGTGCAGTTGAACATGAACAGTTTCAGTATGTATTCCCTAAAGTATTTTAGGTGTTTGAAGTGTCAACCTTTGTTTAATATATTTTGTACGTGAAAATATTTGATATGGTATAATTCTTAATTTCTAATTTATTATTATTTTTTTTTTTTTGAATGAAATATTATCTAATGAATTATTTAAAATGGAATATAACATCAATACTAACCTCCTCCATTTAATAGCAACATCAAATAAATCTCGCCACATGAATCTTTTTCCGTAAATATTCTTGAATGTCCGTGGCATTTTCCAAAACTGTTTCACGTGCTGTGCAACATCTATTGCAGCAAGACCCATGGCTAAGTGGACCCGTTTATTTGGCAAGAAACCGTCGGCATCATACTGGGTAAGAGGACCAATCATCGCTCCCTTACAGATTAACTTCTGAGCATCGTCGCTAAGTTCCTCAAAGGAGATCTCTTCAACATCTCTGTATAAACAAATTAAAAGCTTGAGTGACTTTTACTGGCCATTCAACTCAGCCAGTCCATAACTCCAACGCTTTGAGAAGTATAAATCTAACTACACTACAAATCACCATACAATATGATGTAAAATTGACCGCCTGACTTACTCTATGTCTGGGGACAGACCCGGCTGCTCCACATAGTTGAAATGTTGAAATGGGATACCTTTGACCCAGCGATCTTTAAAAATAGGATCTAAGTCCACACCAGCATTATAGTCTTGAAATGGGCTATCCAAGCGAGCATGTACATACCTAGAGTACTCTTAGGGAAAAAAATTAAACCAAGGAAATATTAATATTATTTTTTATTACTTCAGTATCATCATTATGATTACCAAATACCATTATCACTATCATTACTAAAGTTAACCTTTCAATCTGTATAACAGTTGCATCGAGTAAGTGTTGCAATGCCATGATTCAGATATTTTAACAAGTAGGAATAGAGCTGGTGCTCAAGTCCCATACCTCCATTACTAATAAGAAACCCTTAGTAGTAGCAAGTTACAGGCTGTTCAGAGGTAGTTTCAGAGGAGGATAAGGGATGGGGAAGCTGGTTCGGACCCCTAATTTTTTGAAAATTAAAAAAAAACATGTGGTAAAAAAGAAAAATTAATTCAAATTTAAGTTTGAGATTACCATTTCCATCTATCTAGAGATATAAACATAAAATTTTGCACCATAGTCTGGATCTCCATCAACAATTTTCTTACTAAGAGCCACCCACCCAAACTCCCTGCATTTATTCCTGGACCCACCACTGCTAATGAATTGACATTTTAAAAATCATTTTATGACTTTTTTATTACCTTTAAAAATGTTGTAGTTTATGTAACAATTGCAACATCTCGTTTATCCATATAAGTATTCACAAAATACTATCTTATATGACAACTGCAATACCACTAGCCAAATATTAAAAATATAATAATACATGTGAATCATTCAAAGACTGCCTACCTCTCAAATAAATTACTCTGTTGTACTCATTACTGAAAATTGCATGATGGTGATGAATCTGCTGTCGCAGCATGATCTTTGTGTTGGATTTTATAGCCTCAAAATACTGCCCTATAGCTGCATAGGACAACCCCTTCATGTACTGGCATACCTCATTATACGGCTCCAGGGCCAAGCAGGCCTACGAAAACATGAGTTATAATATATGAAGATATGGATTACTGTTCAACTACAGCTACATTTAAACTAAACAATAACGACACGACGACATATCATTGCGTCGTTTATATTCTTCAACAATGAGCGCATTTTTAACGTGTCGTTGTGTCTTTGTTGTGTCTAGTGTAAATGCAGCTTAAGCTAAGGGCAGTGTTTGCTACATTAATCCATTAATACTCAAGTAATGAAAGTGTTATCTATCTTTTTGTATATATTTGATAAATGTATCAGATAACAGACACAAACCTTAAAATCAGGAAGGGCTTCAGCGGGCTTACCACCATGATACAGGAGTGATCCTCTAAGCTGGAGAGATTGCACATGGTTCGGATCAATCGTTAAGGCCTTGTTGAACTGCTTCAGAGCAGAATCATAATCACCAAGCTCCCTAGTGGATGAAAATAATTGTGAGGTCTCGCCACAAAGTGAGTCTCATGGTTAGAAAGTTTATATTATATTTGGGTAGATCACATTAAAAGCTTTCATTTGGTCTTTGAATGGTTTCCCTACTATAAGTAAATCCAGAGATGTGAGCAATTAAAGTTTAGGTGTATAAGAACCACGTTTTGAGGAAATCGACCTCAAAGATAAACTAACCTGTACAAATAATATGACTAGAATTACAGAATGTATGCAGAGAACACTGTTTTGGCAAGAAAATTCACTTTCAAAGTATGCAATCATAAAATATAAGTATCAAGTCAAAAACATTAAAATCAAAATTTTGTAAAAATGTTGACTTTGCCCTGTTTTGGTGAATATCTCAATATGATTTCACCAACGATGTGTCTCATTTCGTGGTGAGACCTCACAATTGTTTTAACTCCTGAAGTCACCGAAAAAAAAAATTCATTTGAACTTTACAAAAATTTCACAAATACAGAATTGTAAAAAAGAATAAATGGATAGTTCATGTATTGTGTAGATTAAATTTAATATTAAACTTATGATATCAACACAATATAAATTAAAATAAAAACATAATAAAATATTAATGAATATTATCAGTGCAGACTCCAAGGTGACTTTGAGACCAATGGAATCACAATCACTTAAGATAATAAATGTCTCAACTGAAACTGCAACCAAAGCTAAAGTAAAGTTTGCACAACCTTCATATAACTCATCCATATTTTCTACTAATGTATGAAATTCAAAACTAGATTATTTTTAGGTGCCATTTTGGGGGAAATTTGGTCGACTCGACTTTCTGAACATAATGCACAGTTCAAATCTAAATCTAGACTGGCTCAATAAAAGCCAGGCAGAGCGTACTACACATTCAACTCTGGAATTCTTCCTCTTCAAAAAGCCTTCAAAAAACTTTTTTCTAACATCTTCCAGCACCTGTAACAAGCCAGTCTGTTTTTTTGGTTTTTTTTGCTTTAATACGGTTATCCAAGATTCATACTCATACCTGTAGGCATGTGCTAAACTTCTGATACAATCAACCAACTCTGGTTTCTGTTTCAGTGTTTGCTCAAATACTTTAATTGCTTCCTGGGAAAAGAAACATTTAATATTTAACAAGAAATTCATGAAATTCTAAGCCATGTGGTATTGGTGTAATATTGGTAGTGGCGATGATGATGATAATAATGATAATGTTGGTAATGGTGGCATTGTTGGTAATGATTTTGATGACAATGATTATGGTATGAAGATTTATGATTATAAGAAATGATGAAAATGATGGTAATGATTAAGATGAGAATTAAAAATGAAAATGATTATGATGATTATAACAAGATAATGATGGTTATAGGCATGGTAGTAATGAAAATGATGTTAATTATGATGATGATGACGATGATGATGACAATAGTATGATGATGATGATGATAATAATGACAATAGTATGATAATGATGATGATGATGATGATGATATTATATTGATTAAAATTATTGATAATGATAAGATAATGACGATAATGTGAATTTTATGTTGACACGACATACTGATAATGGTAAGATTATGATAATGATGCTGATGATGAATTAATGATGTTGAAGGTAATGATTTAATTTAAACCAACCCTGATTTTCCCTTGATGATATATTGCTAGTCCCAGCAAATGAAACACTTCTGGCTGATTTGGATTCAACCGCACAGATGAAAAGAAATCCTTGGTTGCCTGCATGTAATTCTGTAATTAAGAATCCAATGTAATATTACAAGTTTACTCCATAGAGAGGTAATTTTTAAATTTTTAGTCATAATTGAAACATTAAAGATGGACTATGACTGTGATAAAATCTTACAAAATTAATAAAAATCCCTTAAAAACATTGAATTGCTTATTTTAAACAATCATATAAAGCTCTGTCCACACTATCAAATTTTCTTTGACAAAAAAGCTGTTGTATGCCCATATATAGTCACGATGTGCCCATATATAGTCAAGATGTGCCTATATATGGTTATCATGTGATGTCATCATGACCATATTTAGGCATGTCACATGTTTTTGTCAAATAAAATGTGATAGTGTGGACAGGGGTTAAACTCAGTCCACACTATCAAATTTAATGTGACAAAACAATGTGATATGCCCATATTTGGGTGTAATATAACACCATCATGCCCATATATGGGCATATCACACAAACTTGTCACATAAAATCTGATAGTGTAGACAGAGCTTAAGTTATCAACTTTGAATGAGACACATGCCAAAACAATCAAGTTTATGCTCAATTACAAATTATTTATTAAGAAAGTCTTTAAAGGAGAAGTTTCAAATAATTATATAACTGTTTTAGTATACTTGTGTGAGCTTAGACGTATGAACTCTCCAGTGGTGGACCTAGGAATTCAAAATAGAGGGAGTCCAGACAGTCACATTCACAGATGGAAGGTCCACACCTCCTCAGCCCCACCATGGTCGGGACCCGGGCACAACATTGTATGTTTAATGCACTTTCGATGGTCGAAAATTGCATTCTTAAGATTGATAATTGCAATGTAATTTTCTCTTTTTTATTTTGAAAATTTAGGGTTCCTGGGCCAGTTGGGCACCCCCTTCCCCATCCCCCTTGAATTCCAAACTGCTCTCAACTAGGTTGGTGCTGATGTAGCGAGTGTATTGGTCCATCCAAGTTTAGCCACAGGCTATTGTAATACATAGGATTTAGATGAATTCTTTCTAATAAATTACTATCCATGTATCCTTGTAAAATAATTTCAAATGGCTCTGTTAAACATCTCTCCTTAAACGGACCTCTTTAAACTGACAGGCAGGCAATTTAATGCTTTATAGTATATATAATATTAATAGTATTTATGCATCTAATCATCAGCAAAACACATTTTTTCTCATTCTGTCAATTAAATATTTTGACGCAACTTAATACAAAATGCCCGCAATTCAGTCATTCATATGTTATTACCTCTCTGATGTTCCACCTTAGGTTATGAATAATTAACATTAGAATCAAAACATCTGTATTATGCCTACACATGCTATTGATTTCCATCAAAAAATCAATCACTAACAACTCAGTAAACATACAAATTTTACTCTAGTGTTGAGTCATCCATCTAAAACAAATTTTAAAAACTATCTGACTATTACGATTAATTGGTTTGGTTGTGGCAAGGGTGGATGGGGGTGGGGGCTGGCATTAAATTATGGTAACGCATGTAGGATGGTCTCTTTAATTTCTAAGTCTGCCATCGCATCCTTAGTTCTTCCTAAGGGCGAATAAATCTATATAGAAATTAAAGCAATTAATCTATATTAAAATTACGCATACAGTATTTCAAATACTACAGACACAATTCAAAACCAAGACGTTCAATAAACGTCACGAATTTGAAACCTATTTGTCTAAAACATATAAAATTTTCATAGAAACAATTGAATGTCAATCCATATTTTAGATTGACGAAAAATTAATGATTTTCATCATCGATTTTTTTTAACCAGACCGGTAGCTGTTTCACTAACTAATTCGTTAGCCGGTGTACTCAGTTTTTTTACAGTATTAGGCCATATCATGACTATATCATCCCTATTATCTCTACATTTCATAGTCAATTATTTGTAGCAATTTTTCAATTTTTCCCTTCTCCCTTGCCCCTACGTACTACACTTTGAGTTTTTTTTTTATATTTTATTATTTTTTATTATTATTATTATTATAATTATTATTATTATTTTTTTATATTATTTATAATATTTAATATTATTACTATTATTTATTATTATTAAAAAAATTATAATTTATTCATTTATTTTATTTATTTATTCACTTAATATTGGTGTTGGTATTCTTGCTTTTGTGTGTGTGCTGTGTTGAGTGTGTGATTTTGGTATGTTTTTTGTATGCCTTTTTTTTTTCTTATTCAATTTATCGATGTTGTTGGCATTTGTCATTTTATTATATTGTTTTTTTTTCTTACTTTGTACACCTTGATTTACAAGCTCTTTTAGGTTTTTTTTTTGGTTGTCACTTTTATCTTGTATTTTATATTAATGTCCTTTTTGTCTATTTTATTGTTGATTGTAATTGATGAATAAATAAATAAATGAAATTATCATCATCATCATTATCAAATTTTATGACATTTTATTTTTGTTCTTTTCAACTGTACAAACACTAAAAAATACAAAATGAAAGAGGAGAGCAGTGGAGATACAAAAAAATAATAATAATAATTCTGGATTTCTATAGCGCCAAAGCAATTAAAGGCACCATTCGCCATTGACATCATTATCATTATTATTATAATTCCAGGAATATTGCCAATTAATTTTTAGTATCACTTGCCATCATTAATTATAAACCATATTGCATGCTATAAACATTATCAATTATTTACATCATCTATCAACAGCACGATATTACCTCTGCTCTCTTTTCCCAGCTCTCAGCCACGTCTGGATCAATTTCAATTGCTTTTGTAAAATCTTGAATTGCAAGTTCAGCATTTAGTGGATACTTTAAAAAAAAGAGACACAAAGGCATATACATGATATACTACGACACAAAAAGCAAAAGATAATTAGGACTAGCTTGAAAATATCAAGAAAATACTATTGTGTCTAAAAGAGCTGAATGGCATAATGGGAGATGCTGAACAAAAGAAGTCATACAATGAAGACAAGAAACAGAATTATCTTTGATACTTATTACAATATTATTAATATTTTATCTTTCAATATCTTAATTTGTCTAATTTATGTTTTAAAATTGTAATAAAATAAAGAACCTTCCATTGGCAATATGGGACAGACTGGATAGATTAATGTAGCAGTGGTTGATAGATAAGATGTTTGCCTTCCAATCCAAGTGTCATGAGTTATAATCATGTGCCTGAGCAGGAATTTCTTTCATGACTATAAAAAACATCTCCACTCCATAAACCATAGATATCAAGCCCACTAAATACTTCACATTAATACTGATTGCCATCTCAATCAAATACCTACTAACAACATAATACTGGGGATTTACAGTATCTTATAATTTTGCAGGAGTTTATACACTTGTTTTTGCCTGTTTTTCCCCACTAATTGTTATAAACCTTATTATAAAATAAACAAAATAAATAAAATTAATTTTTCAAAATACAGAAAAGGCTGCAGCTCTTGGCAGGTGGAAAGTGCACTGCGAGCCGCTTTCTGGGATGGATACATGCACCTTATAAGATGACAGTATTGTTATTAACATATATGTTTAAGCTTGCGGTACACCACGTAGGAGGTTTTATTATTATTGTTATTAGTAACTAGTTCATTGGCATTTACACTTTGTTACCTCTTACACTTTTGCATGGAGAAAAACAATGTGTATAAATTATTTAAAAATAAATAAATGCACTAAATAATTTGAAATTTAAATTGACATAAACACCTTTTAAGGTGTCTGCTCACCTGTATGCCTTTCTTGGCATAGGCAGCACCCCGGGCATGATACGCACTTAATAAGTCTGAATGATCATCAATAAGTTCTGTTAATTGTTTAATCGCCTTGTTGAGCTGACCAATATTCAATAATATAACACCAGATGCTATATAGAAGACAACGAATAATAAGATATTATTGACTTTATAGAATTACTTGTTATAGATGCCCAACAATGGAAATGCTATATTATATATAAAAAAAAAAAACAAACAAACAATTGTCTTCCACTGATCAAAAAATAAAGTAAAAGTAAATTTTGAAATACACCAATGTGTAATGAACACTTCTGAAACTGGAGAAATTTCAATGGTCTTTAACAGTTTTAATCTCTAATTAGAATAATATACATAAAAAATATTGTTAATTTGGGACCATATGAAAAGTGGTCTTTGATTGAAGGGGTCTTTAATTGGAGGGAGACCTGTATACAAATGATGTACATTTGTTTAATTGTAATACAGGTAGTGTACAGTACACACTCGCCATTGCAATCACCTTGTTATTCTAGAGTAAAACTTGTTACTGGCAAGAATTAGTATCTATAGTGGTTCTTTATGTGTCAACAATTGTGTCTGTTCTTCTAATAAATTCCTATTGAAAACTAAAACCAGTATCTATTCTTCGATGAACAAGTTTTAATGTAGAATACTTTAAATACTTGCCATACAGCACATAATAAACCCAGTTCATAGACTTAATGGACAATTGTCATTTTCTTTACAACATTATTTTCTTTTACAAAATTTACAATCTTTTAATGAATATTATGTATGGAACCATGACTGTTTATTTTGTACAAACATTATTGTGCACGTCCAATTGTTAAATTCCTGTTGAAATGTATTCAAACCAACATCTATTCTTTGATGCAGTTTTAATGTACAGTACTGTACAGTTATATTCACCATAATAAACCATAGTGCATAGACTGGCTATGTCAGCAAGATAATCAAAAACTCAGTTGGAGAAAAGTTTGATATATAATGCTCAACAGAGCAATCAATGATCCAAATTAAAGCCATAGAGCTGTGTTATTAACACAATTACAAATTAACCTCGAACATTATATCTACTTGACTTCTATTTTTGTAATGTGATATCGAACATCCAATAAAATCAACATTATGGTTGTTGTTACCTTAAAAATAACTACATCTTCTTAATATCATCATTATTTCCTGTATTGTTCATTGTTTAATGTTATATCCTTATTATCTTAATCTTTTTACAGCTGATAATTACGCATAAGCACACCCCCATCCCTTGAACATATATATGACCTTTAAAGGGGGGGTTTACAATTGAGGAACTGCGGTATCATTAATATTATCATCATAACAAATAAAGAGGCCATGACAGATGGAGCCTTGTACTAATAAAGTATATTAAGCACTTCCACTGACCAATACATACTACCTACATTCAAAGAACCTCTTTATGACTATATCTTAATTAAATATTTAAAAATTTTTGATATTAGTGACAGACTCTAATGACCACTCGATACTACTTCATACTACATTATAAAGTCCACCACCTTTTCAATACGATTCACCACCAATTAGGTACACTTACCAATTATTTGTTTACTTTAATTTTAACCACTCTAATTCATTAGGGGGAACGGTTGGTGCAGCGGCTGTGTTTTGGTCTCTCAACCTCAGGGGTACAAACCTTTGCTGCATATTTACTATAGCAGGTTTCCTTGGATGAGGCATTTTACTAACAGTTGTCTCTTCCCACTCAGGAGTATTATTGGGTACCTGGTGAAAATACACTAGAGACAAGGCAGCGAGGAAAGCATCCGTACCCTACCACACAATGCGCTTCTACTAGCTCATTACCATATATTTAGCAATGAATACAGGACTACTTTGCTTTTCATTTACATACCATTCAATTACAATGATGAAAGTTTCTGAATATCTTTTAATGATCTCTAAGAATCTTTCAGACCTCTCAAATTCGTAAAATGTATTTCCGTAATGGTCTATGTACTAAATGAAAAATTTCCGTAGCACTACCCAATAATTTGCCTTGAGTGCAAGATAAAAGTATGGAGTTAATTATTTCAAAAATGGGCCCGATCGTCTTGGGCCCAATCGTCAGAAATTTTATGAGAAATTTCAAAGTTTTCACAATAATTTATCAGTAATCCGACAAGTATGAGTTGTCTAGGGACAATGTAACCAAAGATCCTGATGAAACAGTCATTTGTTTTGGACGTTAGACCTATTTATTTATGGGTCTAGGCCTATGATAAATTTCCGTAGTATTTTTGTCTATTTCCGTGCGTCCGTAATTAGACAAAATTACCGTAGAACATAGGCCTAACTAGGGACGTTCCACAGTACTTGAGAAGTCTGAATGTTCTTCATGTATACTTTTGATATGAATGAACGTGAGTGAGATGTAAATATTGTCTCTATACTTCAACCACATTCTAGGAAGGGTTGTGGTTGAAAAATCCTATTAACACTACACTCCACTGCGATTGGTTGCGATGTAGTAAGTGATAATCCAAAACTGATTACTCCCGATCGCAATCAATGAGCGCATTCAGACCAAATCAGACACAAAAACGGGAGGTCAAACGGTACTAGGCTTCCGGTGGCTAGACTTATGTTGACTGACCTCAACCAATCAGTGCCTTTGGAATTTGTTGCGATTTGTTGCGATCAGATTCTGTGGTAATTGGGAGTAATAAAGATTGTAGCACCCATTCGCAATGGGTAACAATTGTGATATGTATTACTTATCGAATACTTATAAGCTTTCCGACTTGATTTTGAATTGGGATTGGGTGTCACAATTGCTTCAACCGATCGCAATGCGATGCTTGTTTGAATAGGGTAATAGAGAAAAATTTTCTATGCTTCAACACAAGCATTCTAGGATGGCTTAAAACGGGAATATGTATCAACAAAATCTTAACCATTTCCATTACTTTGAATAGATATTGATTTTAAATGTTTGTACAATTTGTTTTTTTTATTTCTCGCATTTTCACTAAAACATATGGAAACACCAACGAAAATATGAAGCAAACAGCTTATTGAAACTATGTCTGTACAAGTTTTTTTTTAAATAATATGTAATATTCTTGCCTTTTTAATATGTAGCAACAATAACAATATGAAGCAATATTGGTATTATGACAACACTTGATATATTAAGTGATATTTGTACATTAACAATAACTGCTAAATTTATCAGTAACCATCTGGACTAATAATAATATGATAATTTATTGCATTTTATTTTTATTTCCAAAGAATAGTCTTTTTCCCTATGCCACTAGATATAGTTAAATGTTACATAATCAATAGAGTAAGAGAATAGTGCATGTGTTAGATAAATATGAGAACAAAACAGGAACTAAGAGCTTCAGTGTTAACAATAACAATGTAATTAATAGCTTTACATTAGAATACAATTACTGTACAATATTTTTTTAAGTACCATCATTCATCAAAACAATAGAACATTAAAAAATGTAATGGTTAAACAAAAATATTATGAACAAATGAAAAGGACCTCCAAAGAAACCTTAAGAAACATATGAATTGAGAGGCTCGTGGGGGAAGGTGGAGGGGCTGTCTCTTATACACATCTAGATGTGTATAAGAGACAGATCTTTACTACTTGTACGTATGGTATGTTAAGTCAAAACGGCTTTGTGAAAGCCACAATTATGTGATTCAAATTGAGCCGTTTGGAAATAAAGTTTTATATTATTATTACAGTGTAATATTATATTTCATGATATTAAAAATCATGTTACATATTATATTCCATCTTGCTCATCTACCTGAATGGAGAAATAAATGGAATAATGAATAGTTTATTATTCAATTCAATTTATTTATTTGTCATATGATTGTATCTCTTTCAAGAATAACAACCATGCTACAGTATGACCTCCCCCACAAGCTAACAGGTACCACCATACACTAGTTTTCCTTCAGCTTATCTGTGTTTGCTGTCGTTAATAAAGACTGTAATCCCATTTACATGATGCGCTCGCTGATCATTATCATAAGCCACATAAGAACTGTTGTTATTACAGATTTCAGAAGACAATTGATTTTCTCATATCACTTCACTGGAAGAAAATATAACACTAGACATGAAGTACTAGTTCTAATGACAATACACTAGCTTTGCTGCACGCAGTGCACTTCTTTAGGTGAATTGGAACATGTTAATAAAAGATGGGAAGATATTAAGTTAAAATGTAACTAAATGATTAATAGACTTAAAGAACAGACAGATTCGGCGATGTTTGTTTACAGACGGTCACGTGACATAACGTGGGTATAAGAAAAACATTACAGTGCGATAGCATATTTTGTGGGTCGAAGACCATCATGCATACCTAATCATGCTGTAGATGTGCAGGGGCCTAAGCATAACATTTATCAAAAAATCTCAATGTTTGCGGCCAGTATTCTTTACAGCATTAGCAAACCATTAAAGCAAAATTCTCAACACAAATTTCCAATCAATTTGGTATAGTTTACTGGGAATTTAGATGATCTCTACAGCAATAAACAAGGGACGGCAGCAATAGCAATCTCAATGTAAAACACTGCTGTGCCAGTCGATTGTTTATATCCAACACCCGAGTTACCGTAAGTCAAGTGACACGCATCGCCGAATCCCTCTTGAATAATAATTATCATGACAAAAAAACAAGCAAATAAAAAAAAAAATTTTTTTTAGTTAAGTGGAAATGTGAATAGAGGAAAAAACATTTAAACTTTGAAAAACCATTCATCAGATAACTGTAAAGCATCCATTTTCTCTTTGCTATTTTTCAAAAACATGATTTCACAATATGTCACTATATTGATCAATACAATATTTTTTTTCATATTTCTTTTAGATTTATATTTTAGTTATTCTTTAGCTGAACATCAATAACAATTTTAAATCATCATTGAGAGAGTATTCACAATTTTAAGTTTTTCTATCAAGGCAAACTCATAATAATCTTAAACCGTCCCATATTTTTGGCAAAATAACCTTCTTATATTGCTACTCAATAAAAAAAAAACCCAAATGTATGAACATGAACACTTTTATCTTTCAAAAAATTTAATTAATTTACTACTAATATTTATATTGAGATACACTGTTTTTCTTTTATTTTATTATTGTTTATTTATTCAGGCCAAACACACAATACAAAGCAAATACATTACAAAGGATCTTAGTAGACACTAGCTGCCCGGAAGACACAATAGCAGCCAAAACCACTGTCACCAAATGGTCATGTACATTACCTCTCTTTTTTATGTATTTATTTGTGTAGAGTACAAGTTTGAAATAATATAGGAGTAGTGAGAGTATAGAGAGAGTGCTCTTTTGGGAGAGAATAGGCGGTAAGATGGTTTTTCCAGGTAAGTATTCATGAATATTCACCTGAAAAAGACCACTGCGTGGTCAAAAGCTTGTGATTAAATAAATTTGTTAGTCTGAAATGTGCTGTTTGTCCTTCATTTATTATGAATTAGACTATAACAATAGAATAAACAATAGATCTATCTAACATGACGTGGCCTTTGCTGCATTAAAATGATCATTGATCACCAACAGAAACACATCAATATCAATCAATAATTAGAACAATAGTGCATTATCAACGACTACACTCTCAATTCAAACCTTCAACAATGCAATATATATATATGCAGATAATATCAATGGTTTTCTCTATACATTTTCATGTGCACATGTTTGAAAATAGTAAAAGTTTTTCCCTTTGTAATATTTAATTAAAATGTGTCCATGTACAAAATGCAATAGACAAAAAATTATGGATTCCTTTTTCATCAGTTTTATTCAGGTGAACAAAATTAATTATGGGTAAAAAGCACCTACAGCAGGTGCATGCATATAGGTAGTAATGTATGTGTGGGTGACATAAAAATGTATACATACCTAGCCTTCTGTTTATGCTTTCATCTTCTGATTGAAATGGAATGAGTTTTCTTTCAACCATAGTGTTTGCATATGTCTGTAAAAAAAATTTAAAAAATTTAAAAAATTTAAAAAAATTAGAAGTTCGAAAACAATGATATACTTTACCTTAATAGAATACTGTAAATAATTATAATGAAATGTTGATTAACGACAGATACACTATGAAATGTTTGTCAGACTTAAGATTGTTTGATCAAACTTTGTCTTATGCAGTGATATTGAATTAGAATTTATTAGGTACTTAACACACAATAACAACAATGCAGACAAGGTTGCACAAATAAACATTTTAGAAAATACAGAAAAAAAAACTATTAAAACCAGAGTGAATAGAGAACCAGGTTAGCCTAATACCCGATTCACACGTGAAGTTAAATTTAACAAAAAGTAACAAATTGTAACCGAGCGATCTCCCGAGTTATTCCTACCGAGATAAAAAGCATTCACACGGGTCTGTAGGGTAATGCCAAGGTCGTGTAAAATTTATTCAGTGTTTATTCAATTCCCCTATTGCAATATAGGTCTAGTCTAGGCCTAGTTGAGAACCCCTGTCACAGATGGACTGTTGAACTCACCATCACAGTAAACATTCGAAGCAATCAATGCCCTAAACAACTGCTGTACTACTACTGCTAAACTAAGCATAGGCTATAGCTTCCAACGTTTCTGTCGACTCCTGATAATACTAGTAATAGTACTAACACCATCATGACATCATGACGTTCATTTTATGTATATCTTCTTCTTCTACCATTACTAATTAACATCAATAACAAGGGTAATTCATTCATCATTGAGAAAAACTAGGCTTATCTATTTCTAGTGGATCAGAATCGTCTACAGAAGGAAGAAAATTCAAAGAACCCAGTGAAACACAGTAGATTGTTGTTGTGTTGAAATCCCTGCGCATGCGCAGATCCATCCATGCTACATCTCGGAAGCTTTACCAGCCTCAGCAAGGCTGGTAAAGATTACCGAGACGTTCCGAGATTCTACAAAGATATTACACGGAGGTACTTTCACACGTGCCGTAAAATGTTACTATTGGTTACATTTTGTTACATTTTGTAAGATTTTTGTACGTGTGAATCGGGTATAAGCTATCAAATTCTGGCTCATTTTTAACGTGATCCCAGACAATTGAATTAAAATCAGCATTGACAAACAACAAAAATTTTAATTTCTTGCTCCTTTCACATCTTTACAAACAAATTTAGTTTTCTTGGTTAATTTTTACCAAGCATAACACTTTTCCTTGCAGTGACTAAACTCTGAACCACTTTCCTCAGTATACTACGTCAAAAATGCACCCGAGCAAAGTTTGCATTGATACTAATGGGGTTGAATAGTTAAATAAAACATAAAACATGGTAATAAACAAATAAGATGATCATTCTAAAACTTTAAAGATTGGAAACTACTTAATAAACATGTTTCAAGATGGGCTGCAAACTGCCTGAAAGAATTACATAACCTCAAGAAATCAGACACGCATTTCCAGCTACCTATGTTAGTGTCCTTTAATAATGGTTGCTTGAAGTATGAAATTTAAATCACATAATCTGACTAAACACTGGTGCCTGACAGAAAAAAAATTCTACAGCCTCCCAACAGTATAACCCTCAACATGCGGGAAAACAGACATTAAAAGATAATGATGATGATGATACCAATTTTCTCAGTGGAATTCAGTGCTGGCACCAAGATTTGCCCGACGGGGTGTCCAAGGTTCACAACGGGGTGGAAAGATTTTGCGGGAGATGGTTGGTTTCCGGGAAATTTTGGTTGGCCTACAGGAGTGTGGGGGACCATAGCGATTTCCGGGAAACTTTCACAACCCACAGAAGACTTGGGACCTCTACATTCTGCTGTGCTTAATAGATAAATTACAGTATGCCCCCCGGTTACCATGTTTTGCTCACTACTCAACTTGTCAGCCTACAACATCAAATTACATACCTGTTGGCATTTCACTTTGACCTTTGAATGTGAATGCAATATCCTATAAAGATTCCAATGAAGCATTAATAGCTTTTTGTTATTAATTATCTACTCAATTTTTGTTTATTTCCTTTTTATCAGGAATCAGATTGAACTCATCTTATAACCAGGTTATTGACTACAGGGCAAAATACACTACCCAATGGATGCTCTACAATATGTCAATCATTATATACTTACTGTATTCATTTGAATAATTGCACAGGGGCGTTTGTTGTTCAGAAGGGTTTTTGCGGGGTGTTTATTGGAGGGATGCGTTTATTTTTTTGGTATAAAATAAATATGTACTTAAATAAATGCCCCTTAATTTCAAGGTAAATGTGGAACTACAACATATAATTGCATGATCATAAATTCTTATTCATTCCAAACAGGTTAGAAAATATGTAATTCTACTGGAGAAGATTAATTAACAATAACATTAATAGAAATAGAATGTGTTTAGAATGATATTGTAACCATTAGATTTGTTTAGTCATTTCGGGTGGTGCTTATTCAAGAACAAAATAAACACCTTGGGGTGTATATTTGAGGGAGGTGTTTATTCCAAATGAAGCTCTTGAGGCGGTCATTTATTCAAAGCAGGGCGTTTATTAGAATAAATAGGGTACATATTATTTCCTTACCTCTATTTTAGATTCATTTATAATCACTTTATCATCCCGTTCATTGTCGTCAGTTTCTGTAGGTATTTCGGAGTAGATAATTTTCTTAGCCGACTTGGCACAAAGAACTGGTATTTCATATTCAACATCTTCATCAAAACCTAAAATATTGAGCATATTGTAACTTACTATTAAATTTATTTTTACACAATTATTTAGCTGGTAAATTAATCCATTCAGGCAATATTTAAAAACTTCAACAGGCACAGGCTGGGGGATGTAGATGCCCCTCCCGAATGGCAGCAAATTAGTTCCACTGAGTGGGTTGAATACGAAAAATGAAAAACAAAAAAAAAATTTTGCTAAATATTTTTTTTTATTTTTGCTCACAATTAAAAAAAAAAAATAAAGATTGCTATAAAAAAAAAACCAAGTAGGGCGGCTTGGCAAACACGGTTCCTGTTGTTTTTTATGAAGTTATTTCCTTAATAGATATTTATGCTAAGTAACTTGCCACCTACTCAAGGCCTATTTATGCACTCATCTTGTTAAACAATCCCACAGAGGCGAATTTATTTGAGTGAAACAAAAAAGTTTGTGCACTTTCTGAGTTCTGATTTTGCTTGCGCATTTATTCGCTTTGCAAAAAGTAGAAACAGTTCGAACTACTGATTTTGCTGAAGCGAAAAACACCAACAGAATTGTGAATATGCATGCGCATGAACCAACGCTTTCAATTCCAGCAAATGAATTCGGCTCAAAACAGGCATGAGTAGGCAAAGGCTGTTTTTTGCAGCCTCTTTGTGACAACCCTATAATTTTTGGCTAGAAAAGCCCCTGTTTTCAGGCTCCAACATTGATTATCTGAAGACATTGATATTAAAACTGATAATAAAGTGGTACAATAGCAGTGCATAAATGTTTTTCAAAAGTTTAGGTGCAGATATCGAGGGAGGGCTATTCTATTAATTGTGTTACCTCCCACACTTTTTTGCAGAACTATTTTGCTAAATGAAATCCAACTCTGACAATTAAAAAAAAAATAATAAAGATTGTTATAATAGATAACAAATTCTTGAATTAACCAAGTACAATAGGAAGGAAGCTTGGCAAGTACTGTACGGTTGCTGTTTTTTAAGAAGTTTACTTCCTATAATAAAATTTACGCTGAGTAGACCTACCTGGCTTCCTATTTACAGCCTATGAACTTATAGTAGTATGCATCCATCCCCTTTTTAAAAAATTACGTAAAGCACTGGTGCGCAAAGGCTATTTTTCTACACCCGCGACAGCCCTATATTTTTTTGCTAGAAAACCTCTTGTTTTTAGGGCCCCGACACTGAATTTGATATTAAAACTGAGAATAATTTGGTATAATACCAGTGCATGATTGTTTTTAAAAAGTTTGGGTGCAGCCCTCCATAGATCATGGACATATTCAACTGGTTCATTTCGTTGACTACAAATTTTCGTTGAGTATTATTTTCATTCGACTGGCTCGTAAAATAGACTTCATTGACAACAAAAATTAACGTAACCGGAGTGCATTAATCTGCATTAAGTTATCCATGTGACCAAAACAAACATAACCGATTGATCAGTTTAGCAACAACATTTGTGTTAATATAATTTAGATTAAATTTCAGAAAATAAAAATTATAATATTTATCCACATGAAGTCAAAAAATAATTGTAGCCTAACAAAATTCAGAAACTGGATGGAAACATTTCTTTTACGAAAAATCCATACTGCCACAAGCCAAAGCAATCTTGATTAGGCGAGACTTTTTTAAACCTTGTTTAGCGAACTCACCAACTGCAAATATTGATGATTATGACTAAAAATAAAATTTTATTTTTGGCCAATTAGCGCACCCACCGCCACGAAAAAGTGGAAATTTCATAAAAAAACAAAAGTTTTTCTTTATTTTTATTACGCCCTCCACAGTCTTGTAATCGCCAAAGATAAGATTCATATTTCTTCCTAATTATATAAATTTGAAGCATTTAACGATCCTATTTTACATTCACCAATAACATTTTATTTTTATTTTCTCCTCCATCTGGATGTTTTTGGCAAAACTATCTTCTTAATAAAAAAACAAAATTTTATTTTTATTTTGCCCTTCTCCAATGGTCTTTAAAAAAAAAAATACGCCAAATAAGGAATACAAAAGTCTCCCCTTACGCAACTTGTATCACAGGAACTATGCAGCTATTTTGTTTTGTTGAATACTTACAAGTTTTCTATTCGACTGCTAGTCTTTGTTTAGTAGGATTTTATGCACTGGTCAATTGTAGTCCCGGCCCCCACCCCCGGACCTAGCGGGGACTTAGCCTGGGATGTAATTTTCAAAACTGTTATATGCATGTAAAAGTCCCCGCCAGCTCCCGGCAGTGCAGGGCATCGTTTTAACGTATCCCCCGGCTAAGTCCCCACCACTTACTGCCGTAGTCCCGGTAAAATGCTCCGCTAAAATAAATGATTGGATGATAAGACCTACTTGAAGAACGGAGGTATAAAAATCTAGTCTACGTCTAAATCGGAGAAGCACGCGAGAGCTAGGCAGGAGCTAGGCCAAGTAGATGAGCTTGCTTGATGGAAGCACTAAGCATGCGTATCACTATGCAGCATGGAAGTTTGGAAAAAATGCGAAAAAAAAGGAGACAGATTGACAGATTGATCATAGAAAAAGAAAATAATTGATTGATTGAATAATAACTGATTGATGGAATTTAATTATTCAATATCAAAACAGAAATTAGGCCTAAATAATAAAATGAATACATTACATTAGTAGAACAGGTTTCCTTGCCTTGGCTCACGTACTGGCATATTTTTGGCGCAACACACTACTCACACGCGCCACCACCTCGGTCCTCAGCGTTGTGAGGTTGGAGGTTCAATTTTTATTATGTAATTTATACCGTGATCTATAAAAAATGAAACCATGATGGTAGACCTAAAGTACCGGTAGACGATTTTATAATTACCAAAACAGACAGTGTTGACTGAATGCAAAGTGTAGGCTAGTAGGACCAGACCCGGTTTGGCTAGGCCCACACACCCGAAACCTTGGCTACTCTACGTGTAAAATTCCCAGCCCTTTTGAGGCTTGTTATATCTACGGGTAAATTTTAGGTACGTCCTGGCACTACGGGTCCGGGGGAGGGGGGCCGGGACTACTATTTACAAGTGCATTACCACTGCCCAGGTTGGCGAGGCTTAACCAGTGTTTAATCAAAATTCGCTTTTGCACTCAGACCCTTTTTATGCCCACCCACCCCCTAAAGTTTGGAATTAAAATGTTTTGAATTGAAGGCTGCAGGCTTGTTGGGTATTGCACATTATATAGGCAGCAGCCTGCTGTTATTTTAGCTTTCCATCGATATCAAATTTTAAACTCTTGCCATTATCATTTCCCTCAACCTTTAGCATCTTTTTTACCAACTAACGCCCCTAAAAAACGCGGTAAAATAACGCCTAGGCCTAGCACTTAGCAGGCCTAGCCTCTAAGTAGTAGTAAGTATAATACTATAGGCCTAGGTAACCCACGCACACAATCTTTCTTTATATTAAGATTTAAAATTTATTATAAATTTAGTAAATTGAATACAATATTTACCACATTGTGGAACAATTTCTCCAATTGATATTATTCCCAAATAATTGTCAGTTGTGCCTGTGAAATCGCAGTGAGCACAACTGCTCTCTTTGTAGCTTAGGCCTAGGCCAGCTATGTTGTCAATATATGAGTGTTGGTACGCCAAGCTACCTTCGTCGGCGGACTTCAGCTCGATCGGCGCAGCCCCTAAGATCAGACTTTCCACTGGAATACCAAAAACTGTGTTTGACGACGTAGAACACTGGGTTTTCGCTTGGTTTACATTGACTTTCATGTTACATTGCACATTTTTATCGGGAGGATCAGACGTACAACTTGACAAAAAAGCTAAAAAGACTACTAAAACTCTTAACGCACCCATGCCGATCAATATTCTATGCTCTCACACACAACACAAAAATTCGCATACAGTAGTATCATCAATGAAAAGTGTGTTTACAAGGCATGAACCGTAGAGGACGCTATTCATTAATTTTTCGTCAGGTTTTATCCAACATGCTGTACCTACAAGTTTCATAATATTATATAATATGCCTGATTATTACCTCGAATTTGGTACATATAACATCAAAGTCTTACGCCTATTTTAAATACCCATCAACTTTTTATTAAATTCATGTATAATGATGCCACACTAACACTATAATTAATTATGATCGAAGCTCTGTATTGGCTCACGGAAAACGAAACCAAATAGTTTCTTCTGGTTGATCGCCCATGAAGAATAAAGAATCATTGTAATAAATAAATACCAACTAGAATTGTCAGGGTAAACTAAGAATTGTTCTTAATTTTCACTACAATTGATTTCCTCCCGGGGAGTTGACCTCATTTATTGATTACCGACGTCAGTGGCGGATCCATGCGGGTGGGGGTTCAAGGGGTCCGGACGAACCCCCTTCTGTGAAGAAACAACAAAATACTATTGGGTCCTGACTTACAAAAGGCATTACAAATTGTCTCGCATCGTGCGGGACGGTCCCGCATTTCAAAGTGATTTTGGATGTAACACGCATTTGGCAGAAACACATGCGTGATCTTAAATTTGTCACGCATTTCTATAGTCACGCATGAAAACGAATAATCACTAATTCAGGGAAAATATTTTGAAAATTAGAAGAAATTAGTTTTATTAAAAATATAAAACAACCATGCAGTAACTTGAGTAATTAGAGAGCTTTCATTATCTCGTTTGAGATTCAATTCTCCGAAAGCTTTGGCGGCGCGTGCGGTCTTGCGCGTTCATTGTCACAACCAATGTTGGTATATTAAGTGACTGAAACTGCGGTTGTCAGCATCAAGCACTCACGCAGTCAGGAAAGTACAGTATTTACGTGAATACTTAATTCACTGACGCGTTACTAAAAATTGATTGGTATGGTTAACCGGTTATGGAGGGTAAGGCCGACCTCCTATGGACTCCAAATGTGTAGGACAATGGTTCTTTATAGGTGGCCCGCGGGCCAAATTTGACCCATGAAGCTATCCAAAAATAAAAACAAATTAATAAATATTTTGATAAATAATTTTCTCATTATAAATGAAGACAACAACGAAACTCCTAATATATATATATAATATTGTAGGAAGTCAGCCGTTAACACTGCTGAATAAATATAATATAAATCATTAAAGGTACATATACAGTGTTAATTAAGGACATGATAGAACATAGTAGGCTACCCTGTAGCTTAGTAATTGTGTAATAAAATGCCTCCAACGGGATTCGAACTTGCGACCTCTCGCTGACAAGGCTAGCGTCATAACCACTAGTCCACGAAGGCTTCATGGTTGAACAGATCCAAATAATCGTCGGGAACATTGTATTACACAATGGTGCGCCTCAAGAGGGCGTTTGGCCAGATAAATTACCGTATCTGGAGAGACGGCTAGAAATAAATACTGTATATTTTATATGATATTGTTGGAAGTTAGCCGTTAACACTGCTGAATAAATATAATATAAATCATCAAAGGTACATATACGGTGTTAAATAAGGACATGATGACTGTATAGTACCTTTGATGATTTATATTATATATATATATATAAAATGTGTATAAGAGACAGGCATGGAAGTTTGGAAAAAATGTGAAAAAAAAGGAGACAGATTGACAGATTGATCATAGAAAAAGAAAATAATTGATTGATTGAATAATAACTGATTGATGGAATTTAATTATTCAATATCAAAACAGAAATTAGGCCTAAATAATAAAATGAATACATTACATTAGTAGAACAGGTTTCCTTGCCTATATCTTTATAACATGTTTCCTCTTTTAGAATTTCGATATCACACCTATTAATTTCTAGTCGTTCTTTATACCCATATTTCTTTCTGCATCCACAAAAACACTCCGGCAAGTAGCGGAAGTATTATTTCTGTACTTCTACATTACTTTTGAGGTCAATGCCCATTAGTGATTCTCTTCTACGATACGCCTACTTTTATTTCAAATTATGTGTTACGGTTGATGGTAGCAAATACGCCTATATCATTAAATATATTTCATTTAATGTTATTTAATTTGTTTATCTATCAGAAAATTAGGTCAATTAATGTTTTATAAAGTATGCGTATTATATATATTTTTAATGTTTATGTTACTAACGTTTATTATACACCGAATGCAATTTCTTATTGTTTTAACCAACTAGGATGTGAACATAATATTGATAATTAGGCCTATGTAGGCCCTACGTATTCTTTGCTTAAAGTTACAGAATTTCTTACCATATATTGTAACAAAAAGTAGAATTTGAAATTACCAAAAATATTATAACGACTTGCTTAATTACCGGTACTCAGTTATTATCGTTTGGCCCGTGAGCCCAACTCAAAATAAATGTTGGCCCTTTAAACAAATTAATTAAGAATCAGGGGTGTAGGAGTATAACAGGAGGGGTAGAAAGAGTGTCGAATGTTATGAAATGTTCACCACCGCAGCCTATTCATTTTTTGTTTGTTTGAGTAATGAATGTTTGTGTACATAGTTCGGGTGCTCAAATTAAACATACATTGAAACTCTAATTGTACGTGGCTTTATTAAAAATATTTTTGTTAATGTACCTGATATTGTCAATAAACACTCCCTAAAAACAGCTTAAAAATGCTCAGATTGTCAGAACGCCCAGGGAGTATCGCCCCCCCCCCCAAGAACCCCACCGGGGCCCGGGCCCGACCCTGGACCCTCTGCCCGCGTTTCAAATCACGCATTTCAATTATTTCAGGTTGGTAACTATGTAACCTACCTAGGCATAGGTTGGCAGATCGGACAAAATAGGCTTAGCCCAACTAGCATTCAATTAAATACAATTTAAAAACACTGTTTTGGCTCGACGTCGTAATAATTTATGTACGAAAGTGTGTTCTTTGGCCTATCAGTTCATCGATCTATGGAAGAAAGACAACATATCCAACTACTCGATAATGTTGGAATATATAATAGAATACAGGTACATGCCAAGTTTTAGATAGCTAGAGGCTTGAGATTTAACAGGAAATAAACACAATTGACGTGAGTCGAGGGCTCGTCCAAGGGCCCCGAAAATTTTTGGGCTTAGATGCTCTCTGGTGCACTCTGAATATCTATAGTGCTGAAATTAAACCTTTAAAATGTGTAGATATAACAGGAACGATAGAAATTTCGATGATCTGGGCCTGATAAAATATAGAATTCAATTGCCAAGGTTTATAGTATTTCGATAAAAAGTTTGTGTTTAATTGTGAGAGGAGTGGCTTGAGAGCTTGAGTTTTGTTCGAAAAGCGTGAGGTTCACGCCGGATGCGTGGGACTTGGTATGACATAGGCCTAATAATATATTGACTATATTTTTTATTTATTTTCTATGGTATAGGCCTAAGAATGAAATAAAGAATGAGATAAAATCACCTGACCTTTTTTTAAGAGGGGTAAAACATTCAATTTTGAAGAAATTAAAGGTCATTAAAAGACACCTCAGAAGTCGGGAAAGCTCATTTCCGGCCATTTAGGAATCAAAATTTTCCCGGACCCCCTTTTATTTTTGAGTTTATGGGAAAATGAACGTAATGAAAATATACCGTAACGTGACCATTTTAAATTTGTTTAATTTTTACAAATTTAATATTTTATGAAGAATGTTTAGCGTACAAAGATCATCTTGTGTGAGACATGAAAAATATCAGTTCCTATCAAGATGACGAATAAAGACAACTGAAAATGAGACCTAATGTGTAAATCCTAGAGCGCTGGTGGAAATTCAACGCCCCAATGACCAGTGGCTTATACTACCTCAAAGGACACACTAACTGCATCGAAGAAAAAAAAGTTCAATTCACTTTTATTTCTACACATTTACAGGCTAACCCTTTTAAACGCAACGCCCTTTCAATACATATAAACATATAAGGTAAGAAAAGAAAAATTAAAGTAATTAATCAATAAAGATAATAAATGATGAAAGGTAATATTAGTAAGAGAGAATAAATGAATAAAAATAAATATATTCAACATTAATTTGTTTTTATCTAGCTTAACAATACATTATCAAGGTTGTAGCTGTAGAAAACTAAGGGTGGGTGATAAACATTTTATGGGTGGGCGGGTGATAACAACTAAAAATAATAAGAGAGGATTTTAAGAATGGAAAAGTGGGTTAATAAGGGTGAGTTGGAGGGCCATGTAATTAGCTGTACTGGGTAGAAAACCTCAAGACTGGGTGGCCCCGACCACCATAACTACATCCCTACACTATCTGAAAACTATGAGTCGACTGATTTAAATTGAGATGAATGATGACAAGACAGATTTTCTATAATTGATATTTTTTTTTAAATTGTTACTCGAGACAGATCGTCCCAATCAAATCCGTAATCCCACTTTCAGTCACTTTTATAGAAAATGAATTCACAAAGATGTATACATAAATATATTATATATATAATCACATGGTAGAAACAGTGCTCGAACCGAATAAAGGAACAATGATGTAAAGATCGTATCAGGTACAGCCTATCAACGAAAAAGTTTTGTATCAATTGTTTGAAAAAGTTCCCCTTGTGGGAATTTAACCCGTGATCTCTCGCTCTCAAGGTGAGTGTCATAGTTATACCACTTGATCACAGGGGCCAGATACAATCAACCAACAGCCTACTGTCCATCGGCGAAAAATGACTTAATCACTTTTGCAGTGGATAGCAATTAATACAAGAAGTGAGTTTGGCAAAAATATTCCACAAACTTGAGAATAATAACTTCTGCACTTTGCAGAAAAACGTGGAAATGAGGAGGACGAGTATGGACCTTTTGCTTGTGAAAGGGGAGGCTGCAGTGAAGAGAAACAAAGTGATGGATATCATAACAGTTGTTCAAATGACAATAAAGAATATCGTATCGTATCGTAACAGGCGGGACGAAGGGCGAGTCTGCATGACATAATAATAAACTTTGTCAGAAGTCGCTTCTGAGATTTTTTTTCTAACTTATCCACTTAGGCTTACAACACAATGCACCGGATTTCAACAGTCGTTATTGGCTGAATACCAACAGTTGTTATTGGCATAGGCGTAGTAATGTTGCATCACGCGTCTTGCTCAGTGTGAACCAATATTTAGCCAAGTTTCCATAAAATCGATACAGCGTTTTCGCTGCAATCATTGAAATGCATAGCCGTTCCAGACGCAACTGGGAAAAGAAATAGACCAACAGAAACAGTTGACGTACACATGTGAAAAGACAAACATACAGATACACAGGAGAAAATTACCTGACACAATCCGATGATGAATTAGATGGAAACTTAGACACTACAAACAACCACACAATCTTTAAAGTTAAGGATGTTTTAATTTTTCAGTGATGTATATATTATAAAAATGTACAGAACACACACACACACACAT